CAGCCCGAGCTGAGCTGCCGCTGAGCTGCCAACAGGTGGCAGGATGGCTCAGCTAAAAAAAAAAAAAAAAAATCAGCCAAGCAAACACACACAGCCCTCTCACTTGAACTGTAGTGAGCAGCAGGGTGCAAAGGGTGCACTTGGATAACCAGATCTCATTTGCTATAGAAAAACTCAGAGCTTCTATGCTCCTAAGCCATCAATTCCTGGTTCTAAAAAGCAATGGCATAATATTCCTTAGCCAATCAAGTGGGGCTCTAAAGACTAGTGATAACAATAACATTTTCTGATGAAATAGAAAGGATACTGTCTTCTCTGCTTCTGTCCTGTGTGCTTTCCATTCCAGGCAAAGCTGCTGCAACACGCCGGAAGAGCTGTAGAAAAAAGAGAAATATGATAATTGGGAGGGAAAATTTAGCAAATGGTATCAAGTAAAGGTGGATGACAACTGAATAGTATGTTCAAGGATATGGCTTCTAGGTTATTCTTCACTTAGACCTTAGCATACTGAAAGCATCTTAAAATGTCTGCTTATTCTATAAATGAATACTGTATGAAAAGCAGTATGCCAAATACAACGAGGTATAAAGATATGATCTTTGTTTTCCATCTGGCGAGAACAGACATGAACAAACAGCTAAGAAATAAGCAGTAAAAATGTCATTTGAGTCATAAAAACAAAGTACTACAGGAACTCAGGGTATGGACAGACTGTTCATTTAGTAAAATTGTACAGTTGCATTCCTATCTTTTATAAAGGGTTAGGTTCTAAAGTCAGTGTATATAAAGTGAAAGTCAGTCTAGTCAAAATTACTTTTGATAATTCTTTAAGAAAGCACTACGTTAGAGACCAACACACCACCTCTTAAGTCCAGCAGAGCTGGCTTTTCCTTCTTCATTGGAAAGAGCACCAGCAGAAGTGGTTGGCTTGTGCCTGAAGTATGATGTTATGAAAAATATCTTCAAAAGGAGAATTACACTCAAGCCTGGTGAGATGTTCTCTTTTGAGGTATGTGGGAACAGAAAGGACTAATAACTGAAGGAACAACGGAGTCATACCCATTTTGTGCACAAACCTAGGCATACGCTTATTGGGTAGAATGGCAGGTAAAACTACTGGATTATTTCAGTCATTTCTTTTTCTGTTAAGCATGCATTGTAAAATTCCTCTAAATTAAATGCACATGTGATGTAACTATACTAAGCACCTGCTTACTTCAGGCATTGTCTCAAGTTCTCTAGGGACACAGAAATGAACAAGATATAGTTTTTTTGTGTGTTTTTTTTAATTCAAGGAGTTCACAGTCTAACAAAGGAGACAGACTCAAACAATTCCTTATGTTACAATGTGATGAATGCTATAAACCAAAGAAGTACAAAATGATACGAAGACTACAGATTAAAGAAAGCCCTGGTCAGGAGGCTGGGAAAAATCTTTAGGCAGTAACATTTGAGTTGGGATTTAAAAGGCAGTTTTAAATTTTTAATTGGCTAAAAAAACATACTGTGCAAAGTGCTCAGGGTTTAAGAGCTCCATAAATGTTGCTCAATTAAAATGAAAAGAACAGAAATAACAGAAGGTCAGGGGTGAAAGACTGGGACTATAAGTAATCTGTTTAAGGAAAGACTTACAGAAAAAGAACAATTTTTTATCTGTAGGCAATCACCTACAGATGCCCTAAGATTAGGGAAGACCTGAGAAAAGGTATAACTGACTTGGTTCTATATAGTTTAGAAGCACTTTAGAGATGCACCAAAGGTAGGTGTTAGACTCAATATTCAACCAAAATACGGTATTAGAGTTAAAATTGCAGAATGCTTATCTTAACATCTTCTGATATTCTAGAAACTGTGCATGATCAAAGATCATATGTTGTGTAAATTACCATCAATCTAATCAATATAACATTAATTGTATAAGTTGGGTCCATTTGGATTAATACATGAATATTCAGTTTCAAATATAAATCAACATTTTAGATACAACAATAAATGCTGCAATAAATTAATGATTATGAAAGCTGTTAATTTTATGGACAAAAATAACTTTAAATTTACAAAATCTAAATAATTACAGAACTAGATTGATAGAGTACATTAGATAACTTTAGGAAGAGTATTATGTCCTTTTAAAGCTAACAAGTGTTTATAAAAATTTAATTAATACTAAGTCAGACATTAATTCTAACCTTTTTGAAGTTTTTTTTATATTAGCATTAGAAAATAAATTGAAAGGAGAATGCCAACTTTTGTCAGCTCAAAATTTTATGCATCAAGAAAAAGTCTAACACCCATTAAAAATCATCTTTCATCCAGACATAAAGAATATAGAGTATAAAGGAAAATATATTTTATAGAAAATAAGCAAGTTTGAATAAAACATATTTCCCCACCAATATCAGTTAAAAACAACCACCTATTTAGTACTGCAAATAGGCAATAAGTATAATGACTACAGAAATAATCTAGCAGCTGACAATGTGGCACTAAATAAAAAATTGCAACCCAGAAACACATTCTGTAATGGTGATTAATATTCAGTCTTGGTCTCAATGATTTTAACACTTGGTCATCTAGCCAAAATGTATAGTCAGCACATTTCTGATTTCAGTAGAGATGAGGGCAAGGGAAAAGAAGTGTGAAAATTTTCAGAGGAAAAGAACTGCCTGAACGAATGTTCAGATAGAAAAGCACAAAGCATACTTAAGAAGAGTTAGGTGATTCAGACTGGCTAGAGCATAGAACTTGTAAAAAGATTAGGATGAAGCTATATGTAATTGCAGGGCAGATTAAGAAAAACCTGTAAAGAATATGGATTTTGTCCTTTAGGCAAAGGGAAAGCACTAAAAAAGCAGTTTGTATGAGGACGTATATCAATAATCCCAGCGTCTTACTATGGCTAAAAAGACATACAAATCACATATTGAAAGTAAAAGATATTAAGGTGAGACGGCAGAAAGCTAGAAACTAAAAAGGTAAACTGTGTTTAACATTCTGGGTAGGCCACTTTGATGACAGGTCATCTTTCTGTCCCTCAGTTTTCTCATCTGTAAAATGGGCTTAAAATAATAATATGTTTAACTGATAAGATTATTGTGAAAATTAAGGGAAATCATTAACTGCTTAGTATCAATCTGTTATATAAAAGTCTTTAATAAGCAGTAGCTCTATTTCTAGAGACTAGTCACAATAACTCATGGTCCTATGGGTAAGGGAACAGAAGTTTTTCCAAATGTTGTGATATTCTGCAGTGGATTCTAGGACTATAGCAAAACACCAAAATTCTGCTTTAAGAAATTATGTAAAACTGTTGGAAAAGGTATGCAGGTAGGGAGAGACCTTCTGAAAATATATTACAGCAGAAGTGAAATGTTCTTGCTTAGAAATATATAGAAATATTCCCAAGATCTCATAGCTTGCTTCTGACATAAAATATTTATTAAACTGGTTATCTTTTGGGCTCCTAAGGATATCAAAGTTTATTATAGGCTAACTTAGAAATGGAATTTCCTCCCCCCACCACCCCCCCCAGGGGAAAGCATAGGGAAGGTTTGTTTACCTTCTGTGAAAATGAAATAAAATGAGGTTTACAAATTTTGAGACTTTTAAAAAATTAAAATAAGTTCTAATTAGTGAAAAGTACATAACTAATGAGGTCTTTCAGGGAGGGTACTGTTATATTCACACCTGCCTACCTATTCTTATAACAGTATTTAATGTGTTTATAGAAAGAACATAGAATTTGAGTCAAGGAACTCTAGTACTAACTACCCCACTATTACAGCTTTGTTACCTCAAGGATATTAATTTCTCTAATCCTTAGAGAGAAAAAGAAGTTAATAGGGCAGCAAAATACTTTAAAAACAACATATGACATACAAATTAGAGCTCACTTCTCATTATTAATAGAAACAATGGAAACCAGAGACAATGTAATGGTATCTTTAAAGTACTGGAAGAAAAAAAAAACCTGTCTACCCAAAATTCAATAACTAGCAAAAACATTCTTCAAAATTATTCTTTAAATTTCCTTTTGGGCTAAGTGAAAGCTGAGAGAATTCATTACCAGGAGAACTCTATAAGAAACAGTAAAGAAAATTATTTAGACTAAGAGAAATGATACCAGATGCAACTCAGATCTTTAAGAAGAAATGAAGAACACTGGAAATGGTAAATATATGACTAAATAAAAAACACTGCCTTTTTTATCCTCTTAATTATTGTTTAAAGCAAAAGTTAAAACATTAATTATGGGGTTCATATGTATGTAAATATATGTGACAACAATAACACAAAGGACAGAGTGCATAATTCCATATGAAATGGTATATTAACTCTAGTTTATTCCTTAAAGCAACCACTAAAAATGTTATGAAAAAATTTAATTAAAAATCAAGAGAAATTAAAATACAATATAAAAATATTTGATAAAACCAAAAATGACAGAGGGACAAGTAGAAAACAAAGAGCAAATGGCAGACATAAACCCAACTGCATTAAAAGAAAAAGACATACCAAGCAAACAAGCAGTAAGAAAGCTGATATGGCTATATTAAGGTCAGATAAAGACTTGGAGACAAATATTATTAGAGCTAAAAAGGGACATTTCTTTTTTTTTTAATAAATTTTTTTTGGCGGGAAACTCAATTTTTTTTTTTTTAATTGGGGAACAGTGTGTTTTTCCAGGACCTATCACAGCTCCAACTCAAGTAGTTGTTTCAATCTAGTTGTGGAGGGCGCATCTCAGTGGCCCATGTGGAGATCAAACCGGCAACCTTGGTATTATGAGCACTGCTCTCTAACCAACTGAGCTAACTGGCCGCCCCAAATAACATAACTTCAAAACACATGAAGTAAGAGCTGACAAAACTAAATAGCAAAACAGGCAAATACAAGGGCCGGCCGAGTGGCTCAGGTAGTTAAAAGCACAAGCTCTAAGCAACAGGGTCGCTGGTGAGAGTGTGTGCTCTTAGCAGCAAGGTTGCCAGTTCGACTCGCGCACGGGATGGTGGACAGCGCCTACCCACAACTGAGATTGAACACAGCACCTTAAGCTGAGCAGTTGCAAGCTGCCAACGGGTGGCCGAATGGCTCAGCGTGCAACAAGATTACCGGTTCAACTCCCACATGGGATGGTGGACTACGCACCCCTGCAACTACTGGGTTGTTGAAAAAGTCATGACATATTTTTTCTATGTTTTTCGTTGCAAAAATGCGTCATGACCTTTCCAACAAACCAACAGACTGAAAGAGGCAACTGGACTTGGAGCTGAGCTTGCGCCCTCCACAACTAAGACTGAAGGACAACTTGAATTGGAGCTGATGGGTCCTGGAAAAACACAATGTTCCCCTTCCCCAATTTCCCAATGAAAAT